AACATCAGGCTAATACCTGAGTTTTCATACTTAGTACGAAAGTCTAAAATATTTTTGCCCCCAACCTGAATATGGCTTAAACTTTTCATACAATGTACTACTGACCTCATAGACATTTTAGAATTAATTATTGCAAGTAGTTCATGTAGATAAATGCATTTTTATTTAACTTTAAGTAGTTTGTTTCATTGTTTTGAGTATAAATAAGCAATCTCATCAATGACCATTTGAAAGATACAGTTTATTAAATATCTTAATCATTATTCATAAAGTATTATAGAATTATCAGTAAAGTTCCCTAATAGATAGTACTATTATTTTCACTCTTTCCAAGGAGTCAGTCATCAATATAAAAAATATGTTTAGAGAATGGGTCAGTAAAGCAACAATTTGAAGGATAATGAAGAATATTTGAATGACTGAAGGATAATGAATCAAACTGAGGCAAACAAAGGAAGTGAGAATGAAATAAAGTAATGTCAATAATTAATATAAGAATAGTAAAGAGCATTTTATAAATAAACTGTTAAAAGTAAACTGTTCACAATAAACAAACTCTGAACAATGAGTCTGTGAGGAGCTGCTACTGAACTTTAAGTTGCTCAAACATACTAACTGTGGAAGAGCAGTACAAATGACAAGTAGGCTTCCCACCAAGCAAAACTAGAAAATCAAAATTTGTTTCCAGCAGTAGTACATCTTCAAGTCCTTCCTTTTCACTTCCTTCTTTGACATTCTTTGTCAAAACAAAACATATATACTTAAAAGGTTAACGGCCACTGGAGAAACAGTTTATGATCAGAAAATACAGGTGTCCTGTGTCTTAAAGAGAAATACAGGTCTTGAAATGAGACAGACTGAAAATAATGAATTAGTTAGAATTCATAGGGAAGGAACTTCATTCCTCTACACTTGTCATCATGGTATTGTTTCTGTGGTATATTATTACTTCAGTAACTTCTTCCTGTAATGATCTAGGTTACATGTAGGTATATATTTATCACAATAATCTGATGGCTGTCTAATAACTAGTCACATGCATGGCATCTCTACTTCATAATAGTAGGAGAAACTTACTCTAATCTGACTAAAGTAAAATATGATAATATGCCTTTTTAATTCTGCAATAACCCATTTATCTTTATTATTAATAGTTAGATTTTTAAAGTTACCAACACATATTTTTCTGAAATATATGCAATCAGTACTTTGTCAGTTCTTTACTACTATGATCTAAAAAAGTTGCAATACAAGGAGAATAAGGATTACAATTATACTTGAAGATGAGCATACTAAAAATCTATGATATGTTTGAAAACCTAGCAAATGGGTGACTCATACTTTCGTTACTTTACTTGCTGCCTAGTAAACTAAACTGAGTGCCTAAAATTCCCTTTCTGTTTATTTTCAACTTCTATTATATAGGCACAGTATTTTAATTATTTAGCCTCTATTGTTCTAGGTGCTTATATTTTTCTGCATCACAATTCTCCAGTTTCCATTGTATTATTTCCTGTTTTAAGATTATTCAAAGGAGGTTTTCTTTATTTTTGGTTTTCAAAGGGAGGCAGACTGACTAGTCGTGCTTGGGGTTATTTCACAAAGCTAGTTTCTTCCTGTATACAAATTCACACAAGCACCCATATTCACACAAAAGCTGGCCGTAGGTAAGAAAATAAGGTTGCCAAGCATTTGAAGTCTTCAGACCATTCTTTCTTTGCCCTTCCTTTGGGGAGCACCACTTCCCCTTCAATTATTCTGCATCCTGTATTTTCTCCTCTTCCTTACAAAGAGCCTGGTATCAGTCACAGCTCCTGACACTCCTGAGTTACATGGCCTACTTCTGAAGCACACATAGACTTGGTAGCAAAGCGAAGGGAAGAAAATCGGCAGACCTGTCTCTCAGCTGGTAGCTGCAATCTTTCTGGCACACCAGTGCCTCTCCTTCTTACAAGTTACATCCTGTCTCTAGACAGACTGGCCCAACAACAAGGTTGTATCTATTGAGGTTAAACTTGCCCAAAACGGTGTTTGTTGGAGCAGAGAGGCAGAAAGAGTGAAAAACAGGAAGGTGAGTTCTCAAAAGAGTTAAAATCCACCCTTAAAAATTCTACATATGCTCAGTCAAGTAAATCCTCATGATTTTTTTAACTGATATTTTGTCCTAGAAGATAATGATATTAACGTATTCTAGAAAAGAAAAAGCTTGATTCAGCAAAACCTCATTAAGTGGGAGATATATGACTAAATGTTGATAACAAAACATTTTTTGAGGTTATTTCATATACAAGTTTAATGAAGTTCTAAATATATAGAATGACTAAATATACATTTTAAGAAAACATGAAATAGGTGACTGGGTAGAGCTGAAAAAGAGGCATCCAAATATTTTAGATTGTTCATTTCTTATATACTTGATTTTATGCATGAGAGTTTTTGTCATCCTGATTCAGAATGAAATGACTTTGAATGGTATTTGTGGAATCACATTGTTTCTAGCCTGAGAAATAGTTCATTGTGAAAAAGTTGAAAAGTTGCTCTTATTTGCTAATATTTCAAAGCATCATTTATTTTTGCAGGGAAAGAACTAGAAAAATCAATTCCAAAATTAAAATATCAATACTCATAGTTTAGCATTTAAAAATGAATAATTACATGGAGTTACCAGTGATATTTTTAAAATTTATATTTTTGCTATGTGTACTGTTTAAACAAAGTCGTAAGTATACCAAAGTGGGCTAACAGTCTTCATTCCAAAATGTCCCAAAATAATTTCTGAACCACATGACAGATGTTTGATACAGATAACTAAATTTTCTGTTATGTTTGTTTATAGTTAATAGTAAAACCAACAGAGAGTGCTAGGCTCTAGACAAGCATATCTTAGAAATATAAACTTACGTGAAACTAGACAGAAATATCATCTCAAAGTACTTTTTTCTCTTAAACGAACCAAAAAAAGCAAAGATCAGAGATGAAAGGAAGAAAAATATATTGAGCGACACTACATGTCAGCTAGACCCTGGGATAGATGCTTTATATACCTTAGGTCATTTAATGTTTTAGTTAAGTAGAAGATGTTTTAAAGTTGTGAAGGTGTTTAACTAATTTTTCATTTTCTAAGTCAGTACAGCTTTTGACTCACCTGTTCCAATGCAAAGATTATTTGTTCTACCCTATGTTTCTGTTGCACAACATTTTCTCGCTTTTAAAAGTCATCTATTGAATCATCATCTGCCTCAGGCTTGATATGGTATAGCCTCTAAAAGACTGGTTTCGTACTTCAGCTAGCCTTTCAAAATATTTCCAGTGCAGGCCTTCACTGTTCCAGGTACCTAATGAGTCATTTTCCTCTTCCCAGTCTACCAAGCAGGATCTCAAAGCCTCCTTTATCTTTCTGGGTGGATACAGAGTCATTAAACTTAAATATGTCCTTTGCCAATAGAATTGAGGATTGGGCTTAGTTATTAACTTGGTGAGTCTCCACCCAGCTAACTATTCTAGGAAATCATCTGGTGAGTCAGGCATTTTTGTATTCACATTGCAGCACCCAGTCATCTGCCCTAAGTGCTGCCTCTGAAGACTGAATATCCTGGAATGTTTGCTATCACATCTCCATTATGACAAAAGCATTGTGCAGAACAGATGAAAAAATGCATTGTCAATGGAATCTTTTATATTTGTTTTCCTTTAAGCAACATTGCCTTGTTATAAAAGATCAATAAATATTTGTTCATTTCAATTTTGATGAGTCTGTGAGCTGTTACCATCAAGCATTGAGCAGCATCCTACTTTGGGATTGAGAAAGTGGGAAATCTAAAGTGAAAGTCTATGGTGATTAAACAAAACTAAAAACTGAGCCACTCCTCCCCCTATCTGGTAGAGAAATTATGACCACATGCCCTATCTCCACTAAGAGGAAAGACCAGACTCACTGGTTCACTGGTATGTTTTCCTTACAGTAGACTGTGGTCTGACAATGCCAAGTAATAAAATTTCCATGACACCCCTCTCTTGAGTTGATCCAAAGAACTTGGAGGGGAAAAGGAAGGGAGAAGATGTGAGGAGACACAGCAAGTTAAGCACCCATCTCTGCTTTTTCACAGGAACAAAAATGATAGGTTCTTATCTACTTGGAAGGTAAGGATACTACTAATTGATAAAACGAACAAAGTTAATTTTCTAAATGTCAAGATGTAAATAAAATTTAATCTTCTTTAGGAAAAATAATTCTTCTTAAAATAAAAAAATGTGTATTGAATTCTTACTATGTAATAGGTGCTGAAGCAAGCACCTTACATGCTTTTGCTCACAACAACTCCATAATGTTGCTGTTATTTCACCATTTTACAATATATTAGTCTGTGTTCATGCTGCTGATAAAGACATACCCTGAGATGGGGTAATTTAAACAGGAAAAAGGTTTTAGTGGAACTCCACATGGCTGGGGAGGCCCCACAATCATGGCAGAAGGCAAGGAGGAGCAAGTCATGTCTTACATGGATGACAGTAGGCAAAAAGAGAAGTTGTGCAGGGAAACTCCTGTTTTTAAAAGCATCCGATCTCATGAGACTTATTCACTATTACAAGAAAAGTACAGGAAAGACCAATCCCCATGATTCATTTACCTCCCAATGGATCCCTCTCATGAAATGTGGAAATAGTAGGAGTTATTATTCAAAATGAGATTTGGGGGGAGACACAGAGAAACGATATCAATGGATAAAGAAATTTAGGATAATAACTTTCCCAGAGTTGCAGAACTGAGCCAAAATTTAGATGACTTCATTGCATTTGTTTTTAAGCACCAGACTATTAAATTAGGTTTTGATATTGTTCAAGAGCCAGAACTAATGGCAAGTATATTGTATGGCCTATACAGTAAGGAATTAAAAGAAAACTAATGCAACTAGCGTGTAGCCTTATAATTGGTTTATGTTTTATATGTATAATACATATATATATAATGTATTTACCATAACTTGTTTTCATATTAAATTTTACCATTTTTTAACAAAATCACATGATGAAATATTCAAAGTAATCATTCCAAGACAATGAGAAATAACTGTATCAAACATAGCTAAAATTCATAATATAGGTAGCATCAAGATTCAGTTCCAAAAGAAGTGATCCTACTGAAAGTTATAAAGTTTAAAAAAAGAGAGACAGTGTTCCCATTTGACAAAGATGGGTTGTGGCAGCTCAAATGTTCATCCTTCTTATCTTTTCATGTATGTTTAGAATATTTTACATAGAAATATATTTATAAAAGTACGAATCATTACCTATGAGAACTTCTGGTCATTATCCTTACCTTGATTATACCCTAGGGAACCTTCTTTTCCAACTTTGTATCTGAGCTCATAGGGAAAACCAGAAATAATAAAAAGAATATATGCTAGGTAGAAGCATAAATGAACACATAACTTTTTTCTGGGAAAATATAAGAAGATTATAGAGCCAGATGGTTATTAGCAACAAATTCTTTTAGAATACCATGTGATATAACTAAAAAGAAAAAACTTCCAAATTGATTTATCAGGTGTACAAATCTGATACCAACAGTTGACAAATGTAAAAACAAACAAAAAACAATAACCAAGGGAGAGGACTTGAGGAAAGAGAGAGTAAGAGAAAGAAACAAAAAGAAAGGAAATTAAACAAAATAGCAGTTATGGCTATAGATGAAGTAATGTTAAATACGATTTTGCCAAATCAAATTCAAAAATGTATTAAGGCTGGGAGTGGTGGCTAACACTCATAATGCCAGCACTTTGGAAAGCCAAGGCAGGCAGATCCTTGAGTCCAGAAGTTCGAGACCAACCGAGGAAACATGATGAAACCCCCATCTCTACAAAAAACACAAAAATTTTCCAGGCATGGTGGCACATTCCTGTAGTTCCAGCTGTTTGAGAGGCTGAGGCAGGGGGATCAGTTTGAGTCCAGGATGCAGTAAGCCAATGTCACGCTATTGCATTCCAGCCAGGTGGCAGAGTAAGGCCCTGTCTTAAAACAAAGACAAACAAAACTTATATTAAAAGAAAAATCTGTTCCTACCAAGGAAATTTTAGTCTAATGAAATTAAAGGATAGTTTAATCTAGAAGACTAGACATAACCACAAGGCATTTACAGACCAAAGGAGAAAATAGAGATAGATATCAAAAGGGTGTCTAATAAATTTAATGCTAATTCTCATTTTTAAAATACCCACCATACACTAGAAGTACATGGATATCTCCCAAACATGACAAAGAATATTATTTATTAGTTAAGGAAGCACTAGCTGCTATAACTTATAAATTCTGAAATTCTGTATTTTAATAAAATATGTTGATTTCTTATTCCTCTGTTGTTCAACGAGTGGCAGTTTCAAGAAGGTGAGGACAGCATAATTTCAGAGTGCTATGTATGAAGTACTGTCTACAAGATCAAGATACTCAGGCTGATGGAGCCTCTATCATCTTCATTACACAGTTTCTTAGGCTGCCCTTAGAATTAGCATCTAACCAGCAAACAGGGAACAAAAGGAGAACATATATGGGACATTTTTAATACAGATTAGGTCAGAAAGTGGCACTCATAACTTCCACTAACATCCCACTAATTAGAACTTAGCATATTTTTCTTCTAACTGCAAAGAAGCCTGGGAAATGTAATATCTCTGTGTACCAGAAGAAAAACTGGGTTTGGTGAACAGCTAGCCAGTCTCTGCTGAATCTATGCTACTGGCTATCACATAGTCTTTTTTATTCTTCTTCCTACACAGAGCAAACCTCCTTCTCAAAAGAGACAATTCAAAATCCCAGTCAGTCACTATGTCCAGCTCAAAATACAAGATCTCCAAGTGATAGTGATGTACAGTTCTTTCTCTATCTGATAAAAATGTGGCCTTATAGTTCAGCAACATATCAATTAAAATAAATTATCTGCTCAATTCCTTCTCCTGCATACAGACACACACACACACACACAGAGAGAGAGAGAGAGAGAGAGAGAGAGAGAGAGAGGCGGGGAATACTTAATACCTTTTAATTTACTATTTAAAATTACTTAATTTATCCATTTCCTTTGTTTGGTGTCACTTTCCATTAGAACTTAAACTCCATGATAGCAGATTTTTGCCTCTCCACCCTTCGACTGCTATATTCTCTCAGTGCCTACAAGTAAATAATTGTTAAATAACTGTATATCTACATTGCCCAAAATAAGCATGTATTATTTTAACAGTACAATTATTAATTTTAAAACAAACAGAAATGCAAATATCTTGGGAAGTGGTTAAGCATCATTCACACCTTGGTTTCAGTTTCCCAGATCTAACTGATAGAACTGATAGTTTCCCAAATCTAACTGATAGAGCTGGGATTTGTACAGAAAAGGAAAGAGAGTAGGATGGTGGAATGTAGGACTATGGATAACTGAAACGGCATGAAGACACTGGTCTGCAAGATGGCAGAAAAGGGGAGTCAAGAGGTGAAAGACAGGCTCAGAAAGAAAGGTGAGAGAGTAACAAACTTTGGTTTGAGCCACAAGGGTAATTAATTAGTTAATTAACTGATTAGGAACTTGTAAACTCCTTCATTCAATAGTACCATATTGATTTTTATCTGCCAAAACTGTGATAAGTATTTGAGATTAAAAAATGAACAAGAGACAGAGCATGCCCTTGAGAAACTCATATCTAGTTTTGGGGGACAGAACATAATGAGTATATGAGTGTGATGAGGGAGGTGTGAATGGAATGTTATGCCAACACGGAAAGAAAGCAATTAACCAGGCTGTGGCCAAGTGGAGGACAGATCCAAGACAAATTTCAGGAAGACAGAACCTGAGTCTAGAAGAGAGGATAGCATTTGTGAAGGTTTAGAAGTGAATGAGCGAAAGGCATAATGCATTCAGAAGACTGGACTTTAGGGAGTGAGTAAGGGGGTTGGAGATGTTAGCAGGGGACAGATTGTGAATGTTCATTATTGTCCAGCTCTAATTCCTTTAAGCCACCAAGCTGTCCCCCCCGCCACACATACCCTGCTACATAAAAGGGGAGTTTTACTTCTTACATATAACTCCTTTTCATTTTTAGTCTGTCTCATTGTTTTGGTACTTTGGAAATATTCTTGTCTAAATATCAATCTTGATGCCCACTGGAAAGCAACTGTTGTCCTCATCTCTGAAAAAGCTTCCTCATGCCATACTATTCATACTCTCCTTCTGGTTCCATTTGCTCCAGAACACTTTATTTCCCTCTGCCAATGTTACTCCCATCCCAGATGCAGACTTTATAAGCCTTTATAAGCTTTGCTAAGACTTGACCCTAGACAGCCACTAAAAAATTTTAATCATAAGCATGATAACATAATAAAATTTGCATTTTATAAAAATCACTCAGCAGTGCAGAGGATGGCTTGGAAGGGCATAAACTAGGAGCAGAAGACATTTAGAGTAAGCTGGAAAAAATAAGAAGGGCTGATATTAGGCTTTATTATCAGTCAAATAAAATATAGTTTTAGAGAAATGACTGTTCATATCAGTCATAACTGAACATATCATTCCAGGTATGTTAAAGATGTGTTTATTTGTCTTGTGAAGATAAAGGGAAAGGTGAGTAAATAATAGTATCTTCATTATAATTTAAAAATCATCTAACATTAAATTTTTGCTCTCTGCCTACATATAAGGCAAACTATTAATTTATGCAAAGGATTCATTAAACTGATTTCAGAAAGGTTGTAATTTTGTTAACCTTTATTTTACTTTATTTTATTTGTCTTTATTGTATTATGTTTAACAAGACCAAAAATAATAAATTAACTCTTTAAGGATAAAAAAGGTAAGAGGGTTATATCTGGATTTTTTTCCGAAAAACTCAGAATTTTAAATTAAATATTATTTTAACATGTATCCTTAATAAACTGTTTCATAAATGAGATAAGGTACTTGAGAGTATAAAGTATATTCGATTGGAGCCTGCTTTGTGCAAAGCACTCTGGCAGATAGAAAGAAGAGTAAAAGTTGTTCTCTGCCTCAATGAAACTTTTATATAATATATATCCCAGAAACACTCAATTTAAGATTAATACTTTCTTAGCCAGGAGAGTATAGGTGAGGTGTTTGTGACTATTTCAAAAATACAAGCACTATAGACAAAATATTCAGCTTCTAGTCTAGCAGCTTGTGAAGAATTGAGCAGACCAAACTGGGCCCATGATCTACCTTATTCATCCTCTTCTGCTTAATGAAATATCCTGAGAAAGTATCAAGGGCATATTGGAAGAAATGAAAGCAATAAAATGATTAGAACTGACAAGGTTATCTTAAACAGGAGAATCACAGACTTATGGAGCCTATGACATTAGCATCATTTTCACAACACAGAAGCGGCTGAGAACTCTGGTGATTAATATGTCCTGCCTAGATTCATGCAGTTTAGTGACAGCACTAGAGTTTGAATCCAATTCCCCAAATTATTAATAGTCTTTTCATTTTACCTCATTGATGGGTAGAAGAATAGACCTCCCCAAACAATATGAAAAAGCAATTATTTTCTGCATTTAGATATAGTCCAGCCCAAGTCTTCTCTAATTTATAAAAATATCTTTGAGAGAAAGGAGAGTCTTTTAAAATATATATATTATTTAAATATTTAATCCCTCTACTTTGCTATTCTAATACTATGGTAAGGACAATCTAAAGTAAAAATTCTCTCTTTTTTTTTTTGAGAAAGAGTCTCGCTCTTTCTTATTCAGGCTGGAGTGAAGTAGCATGATCTTGGCTCACTTCAACCTCCATCTCCTGGGTTCAAGTGATTCTCATGCCTCAGCCTTCTGAGTAGCTGGGACTACAGGCGTGCATCACCACGCCCGGATAACATTTTGAATTTTTAGTAGAGATGGGGTTTAGTTATGTTTCCCAGGCTGGTCTCAAACTCCTGAGCTCAGGCAATCTTCCTGCTTGGCTTCCCAAAGTGCTAGAATTAGAGGCATGAGGCATCACACCCTGGTTAAAGTAAAAATTCTCTAAGAAATTGAAAGATACCCCAGTGTTGATTCTCAGACAATGGAAATTTGTGTTCTCTAAGTCCTGTAGCATAAGAAGGTAGAAGGAATCTTAGGCAGGAGTTAAAGTGAGCCAAAGTGCCAAGACTGAAATATGATCGATTTAACTAAGGCAAAGGTTAAGATGTAAAGGTAGGTAGGTAGGTGCTAATTGCAAAGGGTGCTTAAAAAAATCAAATGAACATCTGCTCAGACTAGGATGGAGTAGCAAGGACTGTATTTATTAATACTGCTCTGTGGGTTCCCCACTTCCTGCCCTAAGCAACTACAGAAACAACAATTTTCTGTGTGTGTGTGTATGTGCACGTGCACGCGCGTACATAAAGTTTTACATATATATACACACATAAAGTTTTTCTAGAGAAAGGTTATCAGGCAAGGAAAGACAATAATGCCTGAGAAACAGAAAATAAGAGGAGTTCTATAATTGCTTTAATTTACTGCATGGAGGAAGTGGATCAGGGAGGGGAATTCAGACAAAGCCTGGTGATCCCTGAGTTGAGAAAAAACTGGAAGTCAGAGGAGGCCATGGTAGGTAATGTTTGCAGGGTAGAGTAGAGGAGTGGTAACAGCTATATAGAGAAATCCAGAGATCTGCAGAAGATCTCCCAGCGGGTACTGAAAAGTACATTTATGTAAAAATTCTATCTGAAGCTGGGGGAAAGAAACACTTGAATTATTGCAAACAATTCCAAGTGCTCACACAGGGCTGGGTATAATGCCTCTTCCTACCAAAAGAGAGTGGAAAATGTCGTAACTCATAAGACAATATGTAATACTCAAGAGTTGTGCCTCATATTAGGGAAACATCAAACCTAGCCTAAATGATGCTTTTGTCCTGTGTACCAAAGCATAAATGCAAGATCTGAAAGATTCAAACTGTTTCCAAGTGACTTAACTGCACCCCATGACAAGTTTAAGAATATTTATAGGAATATGAAAATGTCAAAAACCAGCAAGGCAAAATGTACAATGTTGGCCATTGAACCAGAAATTATATGGAATTCAAAGAAAGAGGAAAACATAACCCATCATAAGGAAAAAAACACCCAAATCATTGACATTGACCCAGAAATGATAAAGATGACAAGGACATTAACAGTCATAACCATATCATATAATCAAGAAACCAGAGGAAATATTGAACATGTAAAATAGAGATTTAGGTAATACAAAAAAGACATAAAATTCTAGAGCTAAAGTCAGTAAACTCGTTTTGTAAAGAGTCAGAAAGTAAATATTTCAGGTTTTGCAGGCCACTTAAAGTATTTTTTACAAAAACTTTTTAAAATATAAAATCATTCCTAGCTCTTGGACTATACAGAAAAGGGCCATGGGATAATTGTCCCATGGGTCATATTTTGGTACTTCCTTGTTCTAGAGGGTAAATCTACAATGTCTGAAATGGAAAATACATTGAATATAGTCAATAGCAGAGTAGACATGTAGAAGAAAAGTGAACGTGAAGACATAACAATAGAAACTATACAAAATGAAACACAGATTTAAAAAAAAAACACTAAAGAAAAAAGAACAGAGCTTGAGTAAGTTACAGGACTAGTATAAGCTGTCTAATATGTGCATAATTATAGTTCCCAAAGGAAAGAAAAAATATTCAAAGAAATAATGGCCAAAATATTCCAAAATTTGATGAAAAATTGAAACCCATAGATTCATGAACCAACAAACCTTACACACAAAAAAAGTGAAGAAAATTATACCAGAGCACATTATGGTTAAACTGCCTTTTTAAATGGATGAAGAAAAGATTTTAAAAGCATACAGAGGGGGGAAAAAAGGCATATTGCACAACTAGTTATGAAAATAAACAGCAGATTTCTTGTTGGAAACAATGCAAACAAGAACACAGTGGAGCAGCATATTTAAAATATTGAAAAAAAATCACTCTAGAATGCTATGCCGTGTGAAAGGATCTTTCAAAAATAAAGATATAGTAATGGCATTTTGAGACATACAGAAGCTGAGAAAGTATATATCACTAGCACACCTACATTCTAAGAAGTGTTAATCTAAGTCAACACTAAAACACAAAGAGCACTGGAAATGATAACTATGTGGGAAAATACAAAAGAATTTCTCATATATTTATATTTTTTTTAAAAATAATTGACCAATTAAAACAAAAAATGCATTGTGAGGTTTATAACAGGTGTAGAAATAAAATTTATGACAACAGCAAAAAAGGATGGGAGTGGAAAATGAAAGTATAGTGTTGTAAGGTTTTTGTATGTAAAGTGTGTAATACACTTGACATTGGATCATGATATGCAAAAACTGTATATGATAAACCTTAAAATAACCTCTGAAATACCATAAAAAGAGCAATTGCTAATAAGCCAACAAAGGAGATAAAATTGAATCATTAAAAAATATTAATGCAAAATAAGTTTTAAAAAAGAATAAAAGAGGGACAAAGAACAGGTAGTACAAATAGAAAACAAGCAACAAGATGATACATTTAAACCAAAACATATCCATAAATACCTTAAATACAAATGGTATAAATATATCAATTACAAGCCAGAGATTGAGACCTCCAAGAAATTCACTTTAAATATAAAGATACAAGTAGGTTAAAAGTAAAAAGATAGAAAAATCTATATCATAATAAGATAAATCAAAATAAATCTGGAATGACTGTATTAATATGAGGCTAAGTAGACTTCAGAGCAAAAAATTTCACCAGGGAAAATGAAGGCCATTTCATAATGGTGAATTATTTATACAAATTCATTGACAGGACCTAACTATCCTAAACAAATAGACTTAGAAAAAGAGTGTCAAAATATATGAAGTAAACATTACATAAAACTACAAAGAGAAATGGATAATAATGCCTATTTCATTAAAATTTTGTTATAAGGAGCAGAAATAATGTATGTTAAGTATTAAAACTAGCACCCAGCAGATGATAAAAGTTCAAGATGCTATCTACTATTAATAGGATCAGAAAACTAAGATATTATGGTAGTTTATGCAATGCTTAAAGTTTTATTCAATTTTTTTGTTTTTGCTGTAAAATGTAGATTTAAAATCTACAAATTACCTTCGTTTCCATTCACATTGTACCTTAAATCCTTTTCTCCAGTCTCACCAGAAGAGATGCTCCTCTTTTTGTTTACGTTTGACTTTTCCTTGGACTACAGAAGCATTTTGAAACAGAGCAAATATTTTGAAAGAAAGGTCAGACAAGGCATGGAAATGGAATGGACAGGAAACTTAAAAAAGGGAAGCATCAAATATAGCTGTGTTAGACATAAACATGGGAACAGTAGACACTGTGGACTACTGGAGGAGGAAAGGAGGCAGTGTGGTGTGGGTTGAAAAAGTACTTGTTGGGTACAATGCTCACTACCTGGGTGCAACAGATCCCTGTAACAAATCTGCACATATACCTTCTATATCTAAAATAAAAGTTGAAATTAAAAAATATATATATGGGCTGGGCGCAGTGGCTCATGCCTATAATCCCAGCACTTTAGGAGGCTAAGACAGGCAGATCATCTGAGCTCAGGAGTTCAAGACCAGCCTGGGCAACATGGTGAAACCATCTCTACTAAAATACAAAAATTAGCCAGGCATGGTGGTGCAAGCTTATAGTTGCAGCTACTTGGGTGGCTGAGATGGGAGGATTCCTTGAGTCTGGGAGGCAGAGGTTATAGTGAGCCAAGATCACACCACTGCACCCCAGCCTGGGTGATAGAGTGAGATCCTGTCCCAAAATATATATATATGTGTGTTTGCATGTTTACACACACACTCATATAATGATTTTAAAAAATAAGGAAATGAAAATAGAACAAAGAAAACAAAGAAAAAAATTATATATATATATATACATGGCTGTGAGGTTCTGGGCTGAGCAAATGGGAAGGGAAGGGATATTGACAGAAACCAGAAGCTTGACCAAGAGATAGATCTGTGTGTGAAGGAAGGCAGGATGAGTTTGGGATACATCGAATAAAAAGTTCTAGCAGGATAACAGGAAAAGTGATACAGTCTGATATGAAGCAGAAGGTATGTGGCTAGAATTGGCTTAAAGATCAAGACTCAAGATGTAAATGCATGAGTCATAGGAAGAGTGAGAGAGTTGTCCTAATGTGTTTCCTGTCAAAAAGCAAATGATAATTAGTATAAATATTACATTAAAAAAAAAATAACCACGGTAAGCTTCCGGCATATAAAGAAGAGAATAATTCAGAAATCATTTCATTGCTGTCACTTGATACTAGTTAATTATACTTCACAGGAATGATTCAGTGGGTTGGTGGTAGGAGGAATGTTTTCTGTCTGACAGACTGACTCCAATGATCCAAGGAGACACCCTGTCTTTCAGAAACCTAGGTAACCTGAGTTGAAACCAACAAAAACTACTTTTTTGTAAATAAGAGAGAACACTTTATATTTTTTAACAGAAGTTTTGCCATTACAAGGAAGGAAAACTTGGTACTGAGTTTTATATCATGGTTTGTCCAGAAAGGCCACACAGCTATTAAATCATGAAATAGACCAGGCGTGGTGGCTCACACCTGTAATCCCAGCAGTTTTGGAGGTCAAAGTGAGTGGATCACAAAGTCAGGAGATCATGACCAACCTGGCTAACGTGGTGAAACCCTGTCTCTACAAAAAAAAAAAAAAACACACAAAAATTAGCTGGGTGTGGTAGTGCACACCTGTAATCCCAGCTACTATGGATGCTGAGGCAGGAGAATCACTTGAACCTGGAAGGTGGAGATTTCAGTGAGCCGAGATGGTGTCACTGCACTCCAGCCTGGCGAAAGAAAGAGGCTCTGTCTCAAAATAAACAAACAATCAAAATCATGAAATATTACAACACTGTGTTATGAAGTAATACATTTGCCCTTCTGGTTTGTAGCTGTTACTAACCCATAAAGGAAGTCCTATAATGGACTGGGATTACAGGTGTGAGCCACCACACCTGGTCTATTTCATGATTTAATAGCTGTGTCCTATTATGGGTCTGCTTAATCTTCTATTTGTGGTTAAAGTAATATAACCTCCAAAAAAACTTATCCTTGAGTACTGTGGGCACTCACCCAAGTATCTGCAAATGATAAAATCTATACTTTGCCTGGAGATAAGAGTGAATGCCCTAGAAGGAGGTTTAATACTTTATTAATACTTATCATACTTTATATATTACAGAATACTCTAATTCCAAAAGAATTCAGAATTACCTGTATGAAATGCTAAAAATAATCACATTGTTGAAAAAAGTTGTGGAATAACTTTGACTATATCTCATTTATAATTTTCAAATAATGACCATACTTATAACAGGAATATTTTTAAAGTCATAAAACCTAGTAAGGAAAAAGCAAGCTTTTTTTTTTTAGTAAATTAATGTTTAGTAAATTAAAGAAATGACAAATATGAGACATCCTTCATGAGGCTATTTTCAAATTTACAATATTCATTTCTTCCACTGTCTCAATCTCTAGCTGAATCAATGTTGTGCAACTGAGAAAGGAAGAGATAACCTGATCTTTGGATTAAGAGAATACTCCAGTTAAAAAGGTTTAACAAACATTCAAAAACACTCCATGCTAAAGTTAAATTATGTAAACCAATTAGAAGATAGACAGGATTCCAAATCTTGCATTCCTTGAGCACAACATAGATTGAAAAGGACACATATCACATTTTAATGTACATTAAATGTGATACAAACTGTTTATTTTTTAAAAATTTATTTAACTTTAGGGGCATACTGTATCTGGCATTTCTCCCCATGTTATCCCTCCCCACCCCCTGTTGTCTCTCCCCTACCTACCCCAACTGCCCCCAGTCTGTGATGTTCCTCTCCAAGTCTACGTGTTCTTATTGTTCAACACCCACCTATGAGTGAGAACATGCGGTGTTTGGCTTTCTGTTCTTGTAAATGTGACACTGTTTATTAGCAGCATAATGGGTGACACAAAACCTGGGAAGATAAATACAGGAAATTTAGAATCAGGAAATTTCTAAAGGAATTCAAATTCTATATAATGTGATTATCTTCTTATATGTGAGAGAAAATAGACCTAGAGAAGGTAAGAGACTCTCAAGATAACACAGTATACTGTAGACTCTAGAATTAGAACACAGGTAATCTGACAATTATATCAGTGTGTGCTATACTCTCTAGTATCTGTACCTCAGTAGATGCCATAAATTTACTTATTTCTTATGTTTTTGTTGCTGGTTTTTTTGTTTTGTTTTGTTTTGTTTTTTGAGATGGAGTCTCACTCTGTTGCCCAGGCTGGAGAGCAGTGGTGTGATCTCTTTTTCTGTTTTTTTCTTTTTAGTTCCAGCTGTGTCTTAGGAGAATATAGTAAACAACCAACTATTTGCATTTCCACATCCATGCATCCCTAAAACACACAGTGTGCCAAGATTCTTTCTCTGTTCTGTGTTCTTTTTATTCAAATCACATTCTTAACTCATCTGCCATGAGCCAGGCAGTGTCCTTATCTTGGAAGATACCAATATGAATGAAAAAGAACTTGGGTGGAGTGTTTGCATTATTACCCTATGATGTAATGTATATAGTGCAGAGATAAATGCACAGGGAGCTACTGGAGCTCAGAAGCAACATGAATCCAACCTTGGGAAGAGTTCATGAGTCAGGAAAAACTTTCCAGAGAAAACAATTTCAGAAAGTTGAAGTGGAATATCTTGTGGTGGCGGTTGGGAGGAGTAAAGGGAAAAAGATTGCTTGAACAAAAGCTATACAGTAAGAAACTGGTCTTTGTGCTGAAATAAAACCAAGACTTCTGTGCCACTGGCTGGGGAAGTGAGGCTGAAGAAGTTGACAAGCATCATGGTGAGCCTTCTAAAAACGGTGAAATCCGCTCAACCATTATATATATATATATTTATTGCTTATGTTTGCCAAATACTGTGCTAGTTACTGAGGGATATGATGAAGGTTAAGGGTCACTCTAAACTCTCACAGTTTGCAATCTAGTAGGGGCAGACAGGAGGGAAAAAAAAGTTCTGCTAAAGAGTTAAAATTGGAGTAGGTACAGGGTTGTCTGGGAACCCAGAAGAGGTGCACTTAACTAACCTAGAGATTTAGGCAAGCCTTCCTGGTAAGTATCAATTGACAGAAGAACATAAAATAATCTAGAACATAAAATAATCTCTTAAAGAAATAAAAAATTCACCTGGGTGCAGTGGTTCACCCCTGTAATCCCGGGACTTTGGGAGGCCGAGGCAGGCAGATCACTTGAGGTCAGGTGTTCGAGACCAGCCTGGCCAACATGGTGAAACCCCGTATCTACTAAAAATACAAAAATTAGCTTGGCGTGGTGGCAGGAACCTGTAATCCCAGCTACTCGGCAGGCTGAGGCACCAGAATCGCTTGAACCCTGGAGGCAGAGGTTGCAGTGAGCCGAGATCACGCCACTGCACTCCAGTCTGGGCAATAGAGCAACACTCTGTCTCAAAACAACAACAAACCCGGTACAAAGACAAAAAAGTGGTTAAAGTATATATTCAAAACATGTCCCCCAAATGGCGTAGGTTACAAGACATCACCATTACTTCCAAATGAATGCACAAAGCTTTCTCCTTCTAATTCATTCTTATTGTGGTAAAATATACATAAAATTTACCATTTTAACCATTTTGAAGTGCACAGTTCAGTAGCATTAAGTCCATTCATTGTTGTGCAACCAATACCACTATCGATCCTACATTCTTTTTCAACACAGGAATTGTAGCCAAGATTTTCCTTTCATTAACTCAGCTTTAGCAACATACTTAACTTTATGCACCACAAAAGTTTCTGCCGGATAAGGTTCAGAAACAGAAAAGATTGATATAAATCGATGAACTACTATCTTTCGTGGGCTTCTGTTAATGAAATATAACAGCGAAAGGGTTCACTTCATTAGCCCCCTCCCGGCCTTTTGGGCTTCATAAACGGAGAAACAACCAGATCAGCACCCACACCTCCCAAGATGCAAGGACTGGGTCCCGAAAGGCAGCTGTCCCGCCTCAGCGCAGGAAATCCCTGCCTTTCCTAATGCACAAATCGACTAGCGCAGGAACTGGGCTTTCTACCGGGGGCTGCATGGAGGAGCTAAAGAGAGAAAAGGAGAAAGAACATTATGAGAAAAACAGCTAAAATTTTGGAACTCCCTCTTTTAGCCCTCTTCTTGCTCCCTACTCTTCATCCACCTCCAAGCTCCATCCCTTAAACCCACAGCGGAGCCCCTTTTCTTGGACGCGCGCTTTTTATTGACGCAAACCTCCCGTTCTCGCGGGAACTTGGGAACGGGAGCCGGGTAGGGCGGACAAATCTCTCTAAATCTCAGTTGCCGCTGGAGCTGGAGGGGCCACTGAAGCTCCTGAAGGGCGGGGCACGGAGCTTGAAGGGGCGGGGCCTAGCCTTAGAGAGGGGAGGGAAGAGGCGGGAGGAGGAGGTGAGAGAGGCCGGGGGCGGGGCCGCTCGGCCGGGGACCTGTTGATCGCAGGTATAGCCGGCTGGCCCGGGATCCCTCGGGACTGAGGCGACTGCGCATGCTCGCTGGCCGCGCTGGGCCAGTAGCCGAGCGTCGGTGACGAACCGGCACCGCCGTTGCGGTGTTTGCGGTTGCTGTGATGGCGATGTGAGGGGCCGGGTACGGGATGGTGCTGACCCGGGTAGGGTCGTCATCTTCCAGCTGGACAACTAGCTTCTCTGTCCGACAGGCGGGGAAAGAGGCCGAGCCGGGCGAGAGGTAAACCCCTTACTGTCCCCTCAGCTCCCCCGGCTCCCGACACCCACCCACGACCCCTCCCTCCGTCCCTCTTTCCCAGGGGCCAGGCAGGAAGCGGCCTCCTCCTCGTCCGCCGCTCCCCCGCCGCGGCCCCTCACCCGACTGCTGGCGGTTGGAGCCCGGCCCCGGCCCTGCTGAAGGTCGGTGGGGACGGCGGTGCGGAGCGCTCTCAAGGAGGCTAGGGGCCGCGGCGCGCTGCTCTCCCGGTGCCCGCGGCCGCCCCAGCCCCTGCGCGCGTCCCTCTACCAGCTCTTCCTGAACCTCGCGACTGGCGAGCCTTCGCCTGCCCTTCACCCCTGCTCCGTCTTCGTCACTCTGTCCCTCCTTTACCAGCTTTCGAGGTTCTGCTTTTTCATCCCTCGCCTCCCACGTGCCTTTTCGCCCGGGTGGTCCCACCTTGGGAAGCAGCCTATCTCTGTGCTACTACCATCTGTAGACTGGCTTTTCCCTGTCCGGAGCTCCTTACTCTGGCCAACTAGGTTTCTCACTTGTACTTCCATAATTTCTTCCTTGGTTTTATTTTCCTCTCATTCACCTGCTTTCGGTATTTCCTCCTGGTTCCCTTTTTGTTAGTTGCAAAATTTTTGCTTTAGCATCGCTTTGCACTGGAGTTCATTCCATGCCCCATCTTACCTTCAGAACCCTTCACTCCCTTCGCTTTCCTTTGGTACCCTGCTTCATTGCTTTGTGTCTAATGGCCCCTGTCCTCCCGTCCTTTTCCATCCTGGACCCAGTGAGGCTCTAATCTTAATTTTTTCCTCTCTAAAACTCTTCCCTCCCCTCCCCTCCCCATTTGTAAGTCAAACCTCTTAACTTCATTCCTTTTGTTTTACTTTTTATTAAATCTCTGAAGACTTCTTTCTGACATACCCTTTTAGTCCTTACTGCTTTCTGCCTAAGCTAGGTGTCCACTCAGTGTTTCTAATTCATCTTCCAGTTTAATAACATTTCTTTACCGGTTGCAAGTATCATCAAAAGAGTGACAGTAGGAATAAATCGGTTACACTTATTGATTAAAGCTTTAATTTTTAAGAAATATGTTTACCTGGAAAAGCAACTTGAGTACAGACTTTATGAAACTATAACGAGTTAAGGCTTGTTAAAGCTTGACCTACAAACATACACTTAAAATTTGGAAATTTTCTTGTCTTCCATTAGCTGTTGCTGTCCAAGAACTGATCTTAAATGAAATTTAACAGAATTTCTTTATAAAATGTATTATGAATTCGTTTTATACATTTGGTATTGCAGTTGATAGCTTAATTTTCCTGAGAGTCTCTGTTCTCTAATAAATGCATACAGTTTCTGCTTCCTGTAGAATTAGTGTGTTTACAGGAGATATATGTGAGAAGTATTAGATTTTTTAATTGAGCAAAAGAACTTTCTAAACAGTTTTGTAACTTTTTTTCCTCCGTTGCATTGTGTTCAAGATTTGGTTTACATAAAACTTATCTTTCCATGTATAATGGTATAGTATTTTATTTTAAAGGCATCTGCCGAAGCAATTATGTTCAGTGAAGTTTGCCTTTATTGTAGGATTGAAGATCAACTGGATTATGTATTTCATTCAGGAATCTCAAAGCAGTCCACAAACAGTAATTTCTTCCTTATGTTGTCTGTGTCAGGTAGGAATTAAGTTTTTTTTTCTGTTTTAAGAAGGGAAATACCAAGGCAAAAAAAGTGTAGTTCCTTATTCAAAGTGATTTAAAGCAAAACTAGGAGGCTCTGATGTCATCAAACCACACTTTTAGAAGAACTAGCAATTATTGTGTATATTAAGAGGTGATGCACTCATCAGCTTTTAAGATTTTTTTTTTTTTTTTATGATTTTTCAAATACAAATAGAGATAACCACTGCTTCTCAAGGAAGCTTGCACTTCCTTCACAGGTAGGTCTTTTTATTTTTAGGCAAACATTCATTTAAAAAAGTAAATGCCTACAAATTCTTGC